GGGGCCCGCGAAATTTCTATGATACGGGTTCGTCAAGATGAATCTATGAGGGATGGGTTCATAATATATATTATATTTTAATTGATTTTTCTAGGTTTTTGAACCCATGAACCCCTTTACATACCCAAATGGGCATGCTCTTATGTTTAAGAAACCACAACATACAGAAATAGTTTAGTATATAAATCAATTAAACCAAATAAACCGAAAAAATTGATTAACTAATTATAGTATTATAATTATATGTAAATTATGTACAATTAGTTTAGTGCAGGTAATTAGTTAATCTAGATTGGAAGTTTATAAATAGTTTGGTTTGATTATTTTAAACAACCAAACCGAACTGCAGTAAACAAGATTGTGTACTCAATCAAACCCAAAAAAATGGCCCGTTTTGTTGTGATATAAACGACATCTGATGAAGCACATGGGAAGGATGGGCTGAGGCCTATAATTGAAAAACCTGGGCCTGTAATAATTTTTATGAGAGAGCCTATAATGTAACCCTAAAGGGACTCATCGCCGTCACGAGGAAGTTGTATATAATACCTTCTTCCTTCTTCATCATTTGATATCCTATCTCTTGATTCAGCTAATAATTCAATCTGTTTTCTATCATAATTTTAGAGGATTTGATTTCAGTTTTTTTTTGTTCTTTTTGGTTCGTTTAAGCTTCATTCTCTGGCTGATTGGATTATTATTATTATAATAAATTCCTCATCGGCTCGTTCATATTGAAGCGAGATAAACTCAACTTACACGCTGGTCTGCTGCGTCTGATACTATACGCTGCAGCGTAGGAAGAATGAGATATTTCATCTATCTTTGTTTTGTAATATGCCTGTGATGATTTTCGTAGGCTTGTCCTGATCAATGTCATGACGTTACTTCTGAAGCTTTGAATCTGAGGCTCTTTGCTTATCATCATTTGTTTATATTTCTTATGAAATAGCCACAATTTATTTTTCCTAATGAGGATTACTTATTAAAAGCTATGGATCTGATTATTATATCTTATTCATATGATGCTATTTTGTCATAGTTACTCTGATGGGAAATATTCGTTTTTTCTTTCTTTCTAAAACATTAATTTCTTAATTATTTTGTTTGATTTGCAGAACTGCTTATAGAGTAGAGTCCTATAAAATTGTTTTGTAGGTTTAAGACAATTAGTCCATGTCCTAAATTGTTTAATACAAGGGCAACTTTTTGCCGAGTGAATCGAATATCGATATCTCTCTTTTTCCCAGTTGCCAAAATCATCTTATGGCTGCGTTAAGAATATTCTGATCGGTTGCGTATTTGTTTTACATATACTGATCTTTTCTTTTGCTGCTACATATTTTTCAAAATTAGCAAATTTAACTTCATATGAACTGTTTTGTAGTTTTTAAGACAAATTCTTCTGCTTAATTGTTTTATTTTTGTATGTATTGTTTTGATACTGAGGCAACTTTTTGCCGAGTGAATCGAGTATCGATATCTCTCTTTTTCCCAGTTGCCAAAATCTATCTATGGCTGCCTGAAGAATACTTTGACTGGTTATGTTTCAATATAACCTATCTTTTCTTTTGCTTGCTACATATCTTTCCAAATTAACACAATCAATTAATAATAATTAAATATGGGACCTAAAAAGTAAAGACCGATGCAAATATTTATGTTTTTGAACAAAGTAACAAAATGGTTTTGTGGACGACAAAGAGTTTGTAACTTATGGAATTGTTCTGCATGGATTTTATTTTGGCCCAAAGAATTCTAAATGTCCATCAACCAATAAGCCCCATGTTTGCGTAAACAATCAAAATCTCGGCTTGTCTATAAAATCTATTATGAGCCCAATATGAATAATATTGTACGTAACTGTAAGATACTTAAAAAAGATAGTCCATCATGAGTAGTAAATAGGGTTTCTAGTTATAAAACTCCATGGATTTCAAACATGTGTAATGTCCTGATTTTTCACGGTTAATGGGTCATCCATGCCTGCTCTCTCGACCCGTGGGTCTATCTCGTTCTAACGGTCGGTTTCTTAATTTTCTAAGACTCGAGCCATGTTTACTAACCTTCCAATCATCACATGACATTTTTCCGTGCTTTGGCTTCATTTAAACTTTTAGTACAAAATATTAAAAAATCATTGAATTTTTTAGTTGAAGATTTATTTTATTATTTACTTTTAGTACTAAATCCCTAGTTAATGCAATGTTAACGTTAAAAATAAAAGCCATACAAAATATTCAGTAGTAGGCTAGGCGGTTGTATTCCGATTGTATATTTTGGATTTGCTGGCCCAAAGAATTCCAAAAGGATAATGGTTCCAGTAATATCATTTCATAGTTATATCGGTTTTGAATTATCAGTTTTGTTTGGTTATTTTAGATATATAAATATAGTATAAATTTTTTTAAATTAATAATGTTGAGATTATGATATTTTATTAATTTATAGAGTTAATAATTTCTAAAATATTTCTCTTTAAAAATTCTATTTTAAATACAAATAATTATTTTGTTGTGTATACATTAATTAATTTTTCAGAAATCCAACTTTCATATTACTATTATTATATTATTTATAATATATGATATATTTTTATAGAATTTAAATGTAATTTTAGATATAATTATACTAAATATTATTGAAATATATTGAAGTAAGAAACATAAATATAATTCCACTATAAATATAAAATAGACTATAGTATTTTGTACTTATAGAAAATATTATATATAAAATAATAATTTAAGATTTAGTTAGAGTTTCTATTTACTTAGAACTTTCTAAAAAAATATTATCTTATTATTTTATGAATTGTGTCCATGAACCGGTCTAAGTCAAAACAAAAGAAATTATTATTCCTTTTCTTGGGGTTAAATTCGTTCAAGTGAAAGTAATAACCATGAACGTGGTGTTTAAGTTAGGTACAAGTTGATTAGTTATGAAATTTGTTTTGGGGTTAAATATGTTTGGTCTGAATAAGTTACGCACTTTCTGAGTTTTCAAATTAAAAAATATTCTGCAGTTTTCTTGTGAATCGCGAAGTAGCGGGGATTCTCGAATCTTTACTAAAATTACTCGAAATAGAAAGTACTTTGACAACGAAAGCGTTGGTTATCGTATGGCTACGTCATCATGGTATTCGTGGTGGGACAAGTGTAGTATCTCAATGGCTCGGAAGAATATTTATTGTATCGTCTGTATTACGTACAGTGTATGTACGACTATATATTCAACACAAGATGTCATCACTACTCACTAGAAAAATTTAACTACTACAACAATACACACACGATTGTTGCCTGAAAATTTTCTTCAGAAATTACGGTCGCAGTGGTTAATGGTTTAATATTTAAAACTAGAATAGAAACCAATAATGATTTAGTTTAGCTGCTTACTATTAAGCATGTGATGAAGGAGGGGAAGAAAATTATAATCAATCAATAACTAATCAAGTCGAAAAAGGTGTTAATTACCAGCGACTCCGTTAGTTTGTGAAATCAGCAGCGGGAGACATTTGAGTGGGTGCCTGTCATATTATAATAACACTTTTGTATTTTTATAAATAAAAAACATTAAACTGATAATCAGTATTATATGTTTGTAAAGAGACAAGGCAACAACGGACTTGGTTTATCGAACCCTATATAACACAACCAACGTACGTGGAAAAATAGACTATAGACACATGTTCAGATGTAAATGTAATTAGGTATGTGTGTAATTTAGAAGATCATACAGTAAAAGCTCGGAATATTCTTGGAAACCATGATGGTCCAAGTCTCCAAAAAGGATAATGGTCCAAGTGTGTGTTAATTGTTATTGCTGGCGAATTGCCTTTGACAATAACATATTGTACGTAGTAACAAAACTATACACAGTTGCACTTGATGTACGTATACAGGTTTTTGGTTGAATAAATTTTACATTCATTAAAAAAAAAACTATATACTGTTTATTAAACGAATTACGGTGGAAACAAAGTTCTACTAACAAAAACCCCATCTAGTTATCGTTCTAAGTGGAGATATTTACTTCCCGGAAATAACTAAAGATAACTACAATATATGCCGTTTGCTTTTCTCGGAAGTAAAATTAATGTGTCCCAGTTAACTATATAAAATATATAAAAAATATACTCAAATTAAAGTGACAATAAGAAAATCGGATCACTTATTTAAATTTGGAAGTGGGTATTTAATTTGTAACTTTGTTCTCACGTATAATTAATTAGCTTGCAAATACTGAAATTAAGAAGAGAATCACAAGAATGATGATGAAATGATGTTTACGGAAAAGGAGATTAATGCATTGCGGTTTAACGATGGAAACAATACATCTTGTGGTCGTAACCTTGGAAAACAAGTATAGACTGTAGAGCATATAACGTATTTATTACACACCAAATATAAACAAGTTCCAAGTTAAACGTACTCTAATTTGAACCAAAAAGTGTTAATGGCTGAATAATTAAGCATCCACAGCAACTTTGCTAAGTACTCAAATATCATTTTTGACCTTCTATTGGTTTGTGACTTAGTAATAAAATTTAAAACCAAAACTATATGATTAAAAGTAACCCATTGTAACTTGTAAATAGAGGAGAAATGAGAATACTAGCGTCTCAGTTGGTTTGTGAAAACAAACAAGAAGATGGTTTTAGAGGATCGGTCCCTTCAAGTATTTATTTATTTTCTATGGTCATATTTTCTTAATTATGAATATTTCTAAAACAAATATGATGATACATAGCTTTTCAGTTTTTTAGCTAACTAACAATTTAATACTAATGTTAAACAGTAAGTAACTATATTTGAGAACCAACTAAAATAAAAAGACCGAGAATGAAGAAGTTAAAAAAAAAAATTGTATTTAATTTTAGATTCTCAGATATTTCCTAATTTACTTTTTGCGCAAGTAAAAAACCTTTCGTATTTTTTCAACACAACCAACTATATAAAAGCCAGCACCATGGTTTTACATATCATTACTCATCACACACACACAAATAAACATCATTCCTTTCTCTTTAATGGACACTAAAATCGGATCCATCGACGCGTGCAAGCCCACCAATGGCGACGTCGGCAGTCCACCAAGCGGCGCCGTTGCAACCATCCATGACTCTGTTCCCTCCTCCGCCATCTCCGTCGGCTCCTCCGAAGCCACACTCGGGCGTCACTTGGCCAGACGCCTTGTCCAGGCCGGAGTCACCGACATCTTCTCTGTTCCTGGTGATTTCAACCTAACTTTGCTTGACCACCTCATAGCCGAGCCTGAGCTCAAGAACATCGGCTGCTGCAACGAGCTTAACGCCGGCTACGCTGCCGACGGTTACGCTCGTTCCCGTGGAGTGGGCGCTTGCGTCGTGACCTTCACGGTTGGTGGTCTAAGCGTTTTGAACGCAATCGCTGGTGCATACAGCGAGAATCTGCCGGTTATATGTATCGTTGGAGGCCCTAACTCCAACGATTTTGGCACTAACCGGATTCTTCATCACACCATCGGTTTACCTGATTTCAGCCAAGAGCTTAGGTGTTTCCAGACCGTTACTTGCCACCAGGTATCATCAATATTATAAACATGTATATAGTATTATTATGCATTTGATGTATCATGTTGTCTTCTTGTTGATTAGGCGGTGGTGAACAACTTGGAAGATGCTCATGAACAGATCGACAAGGCCATTTCAACAGCTCTTAAAGAAAGCAAGCCTGTGTACATCAGCATTAGCTGCAACTTGGCTGCGACTCCTCACCCTACTTTCATTCGTGATCCTGTCCCCTTCTCACTTACTCCAAGGTAACACTCACTTTCTCTCATTGATAGGACCGGATTTGAGATTATGGGAGTTGTAGACAATTTGATAAAGATGTTAATAATTTTTTTTTATAGAAATCTGGAGGTATATGCCTATGTAATTTTCTTCATAATTTTTCAGGGCCAGAATCAAATGTTTCATTTGATAAATCAATATTTCAAATGTTTTTTTTTTCATTTTAAATTTTAAATATACTTTTTGTATAGATTGAGCAACAAGATGGGCCTAGAAGCTGCGGTTGAAGCAACGTTGGAGTTTCTCAACAAGGCCGTGAAGCCGGTCATGGTTGGTGGTGTCAAGCTACGTGTAGCCAAAGCCAGCGATGCTTTTGTCGACCTTGCAGACGCTTCTGGCTACGCTCTGGCAGTGATGCCATCTGCAAAGGGCCTTGTCCCGGAGAACCATCCTCACTTCATTGGGACTTACTGGGGAGCAGTGAGCACTCCTTTCTGCTCTGAGATTGTGGAATCTGCAGATGCCTACATCTTTGCAGGCCCAATCTTCAATGACTACAGCTCTGTGGGTTACTCTCTTCTCCTCAAGAAAGAGAAAGCCATCGTTGTGCATCCTGACCGTGTCACTGTTGCCAATGGTCAAACGTTTGGGTGCGTTCTCATGAGCGATTTCTTCACTGAATTGGCTAAGAGGGTTAAGCGTAACGAGACGGCTTATGAGAACTACCACAGGATCTTTGTCCCTGAAGGCAAGCCACTGAAATGCAAGCCAAAAGAGCCTTTGAGAGTCAACGCAATGTTCCAACACATTCAGAAGATGCTCTCTAGTGAAACGGCTGTGATTGCTGAAACCGGTGATTCTTGGTTTAACTGCCAGAAACTAAAGCTGCCTAAAGGATGTGGGTACGTATCTGTTGATAGTCTTTTCCATTATAGTATTTATTTGTACATTAATTTCAAATATTAGTTTTGTGTACAATTCTAGGTACGAGTTTCAGATGCAGTATGGATCCATAGGGTGGTCTGTTGGTGCGACTCTGGGATACGCACAGGCTGTACCAGAGAAGCGAGTGTTGGCTTTCATCGGAGATGGAAGTTTCCAAGTGACGTGTCAGGACATATCCACCATGCTGCGTAACGGTCAGAAAACAATCATCTTCCTGATTAACAACGGTGGCTACACCATTGAGGTAGAGATTCATGACGGTCCATACAACGTGATCAAGAACTGGAACTACACAGGTCTAGTCGATGCCATTCATAACGGTGAAGGCAAATGCTGGACCACAAAGGTGAGATACGAGGAGGAGCTTGAGGAGGCGATCAAGACAGCTACAACGGAGAAGAAGGATTGTCTTTGTTTCATAGAGGTGATAGTTCACAGAGATGATACGAGCAAAGAGTTGCTTGAGTGGGGCTCACGCGTCGCTGCTGCTAATGGTCGTCCCCCAAACCCTCAGTAATAGAGATGAACGAATCTTGAGTGGGACCAATCACATTGTTTCCCTGTTTACTACTCTTTGTTTATTTCCATGCTGGTTTTACTTTTCAACCGTTGGTTTTAATTGCTTTTGTAGTTTATTCCAATTAGTACGGTTTATCGTGGAATAAAAGTTGCTTTTTCATTCTAATTTCAATTATTGTGTTCTCTACCATTAAGTCCGATTACTGTTTCAGTTATTATTACTTTTTTCCTTTTTTTTTTTTTTTTTTTTTTGAATGAATGTAAAATTTTATTCATCAAAAAACATTGTTACAATAAATGCAACATAAGGAAGATACAAAACACTGCTACTAATACCCACCCCGAATCAAAACCAGAATCTCCTCAATAAAGGAGCATAGATTATCCCTCATTAAAACCTCTTAGAGTAAACCCAAATGGGACAAACCTTTAAGAGGAAAAAGAGTAGATAAACCATGCTCAGGAGAGACAAAAGAGAACCAAAACAACCCAAAAATCAAAAGATCAACCATATTCAAACCTTAAGAATCACCACCAAATAAATCCCCCTTCCCAGAAAGCAAACTTCCAGCCAGAGCAAAACAGAGGATCTACTCCAGCAGCCGCAACCCATCCAACTAAGGCAACGAGACCAGAAATCCGGAGAGCCAAAACAAACCAATCCCAGGCTAAAGAAAACCAGAGAGAGCCAACCCAACTACCAAATCCAAGAGCCGTAGAACAAGCATCCTCCGACTAAGTAGCACAACCCAACCACCAACACCAAAACCCAAAGCAAACCAACTTCCAGCAAAGGAAAAAACACATAACTCACAGCAAGAAGAAGCCCCGAATACCGAAACCCAGGTCACCACAGACCCCCGACAACACAAGAACAATGAAGAAACCTTCTCCCATAACCGCAACCCAAACCAACAAAGACAGAGGATCAACTCCAGAAACCCAACCAACAAAGGCAGCAAGACAAAGAAATCCAGAAAGCCAAAAACAAACCACCCCCAGGCTACAAAACACCAGAGAAAGAGCTACTTTCACCCGAGAAAGAGCTACTTTTTTCCTTTTTCTTTCTCCATATTTAGTCGCTCAAACTTGCTTCCTCTACTAAAATTCAAAAGGGTAAACACCAAAAAGAAAATATAAAGATGCATGGTACTGCATTAATTTGTTATATAACTATTGGGAGTTATTGGTTGTTTTGGAGGAAAAGAGAGAAATATACAAATTAGAAATGAGAGAAACTAAAAAGTGAAAGAGTAGAAAAGGTAAGAAAAAAGAGAAAATAAAATATAGAGTAATGTTAGTATATGTTTTCTTTTGTCTCAATAGTAAATAAAAAATAAAGTTTTGTTTGATTGGCAATATAACAGAGTATACAAGAGTAATAAAATTTCTAGCACTATTATTATTGCTAAAGATGTTTATACAATCACAAGACTACCAACCAATATTACTATCACATACAGTGCCCGTCCAGTACAAAATTTTGCCTAAAGCTGAAGGAATTCTTTTTGCCCTTCTAACATAAATGCAAAAAAAAATATAAACAATTTTCCTTGGATGTTTTGAACCCAGCAGTGAAACTATCCCCTAACATAAATGGTCTTAAGCAACTATGCCAAATAACTTTTTTTTTTATTAAATGGTGCCCTTCAAAATTTTAATATATGAGGTGCCAATAAAAACTAGCTTGCTGAGCTTTACATCTGGGCCGGACCTGATCATATAGTACGACTTCATCCACTAACATTCTACATATTGTCTCTTTCGTGTTTCCAGTGATTTCATACGTTTGATAAACGTAGGTTAATTTAATTAGTCTATAATTAAGTAGTATTACAGTCTACAACATACATTCGGATATATAGATTCAGATAGGTATATATAATGCAATTTTCAGATGCACATAATCCTTAAACAAAAGGTTTTAAAAATAAATGAGGACAGTAATTAAGAAACTAATATATTTTTTTAAGAAACTAATATATATAATAGATATTCTACACTTAAATAACATATCATTGCATATGGGCGACGACTAAGACGAACCACGTCGATGCATGGTTTCTTTTTTGCTCATCATTAGTCATCATCAGCCGAATTATACCACATCGGATTATTCGGGTCGGCAGCCGTAAGTAGTGGCGTCCCTTGTGGATACGTCTCCGCTACAGGGGTATAATTGTCATCAAAACCAAAGGGTCTTGGTTCAAATTCACTGACACCGGCGGGAGAATAAGTACAAGGCGACGTAGTTTCGTAGTCGTTGAAGAAAATAAGCATATTGTGGTGAAACCAGATCTGAGCTTTCAAGAACTTGACGTAGCTGATGGCTTCGTCGAGCATAGAGACGGTGTCCATCTTCGCACCACCAGGAACCATGCTCTGTAGAATCTTCAAACGGTCGCTGATTCGGTGGCGTCTCTCACGGGCAGCCACGCTCTGTGGATCCGTCGATAACGTGGACACTGACTGATTTTTGTTGCCCTTTTTTCTGCCTTTGTGGCTGTGGAAAGAAGAAGATGATGAGGAAGTGGTGGAAGATGAATTAGGGTTTAGGCTACGAAGACTGGACTGGTCCATTTTGATTGTCGTGCTTTGTATTGTTACGTAGTATGTGTATATATATAAAGTCACATACGAACTGGTTTAGTGGAAAAAAAAAGAACTGGTTTAGTGGTAATCAACGTTGGCTAATTATATCGCCGGTCCTAGTATAATATTGTAGATGTAGCTAGCAGAAATTTTGTATTTCCTTTTTTTTTGACTGAGCTAGCAGAAGTTTTGCAATTATTTTTTTTATTTTTTATTTTTTAATTAAAATTTCTTATCATTAATCAACCCGAACAAAACGGGAATTCAAGTGTTGTTTTACAAGCTTGGATCGAACAAAATTATCTAAATCTACACATAACACCTTTCGCTTCGTTCGCCCGCCAAACCGACACGTTCCGCTAGAGTGCGCCGAGATCCTTAGACTATCAATATCCGTTCTCAACCAATGATGAAAACCACTGCAAAGGGCGAGGTTTACCTTGTTACCTCGGATGCCGGTCTTTGCGTGTCATCACTAGAGTAGCTGGTTAATGATGATCTCACCAAGCTTGCTTAGTACACTGATCTTTGAAGCACAAGACGAACTAAAGAAGGATGGTACAAAACAATCTTACCAGATCAAGTATCCATCTGTACTCCTGTCTCAGCCGCCGAAGCAGAGCAAAAAACGAGTTTGAAGAAGCACCCGCCTGGATGAAACAATAGCACTCATAACCTGCACAAGGAAGATAGAAGCCACACTACCAACAAGGACAAATGACCACCGTTGGTACTGGGATATGCGGCTTCAATCGAAAGGAGCCTTCGAGAGGCAGAATGGAGCCGTAGACCACCTCGACCCACCATCTACCTTCGCCTTCCGCTGCCGCCGAGAACCGAAGACAGAAACCTTGAGACCGTTTGACATGTTTCCTTAGGCTTCGGAAACACATAGCACTAGAAACAACAGAGCGCCCTTAAGAGGACCAGACACCAAAGCCTCAAAAGATAATGCCCACCAGACCCAGTAGAGGAGGTGAAAAAACTTGAAAGGCAAAGAACCCGAAAACAGACCAGCCATAGACGACAGCGTCTTCACTGGTTTTCAGCCTTCTCGAGCAGGAATCAAAGACATAGCCTCACCACGCAGCAAGAGCTATGCTCTGTACTCGAAACCGAGGAAGGAATCCTCCGGAGCAAGTCCAAGAGAGTGAGAACAAAGGAATACGCTCCAAGACACCTCAGAACGATCAATCCAACGAAACACCCGCCCCTTGACCAAACCAGTAACCAGCAGGCCTCTCCGCCACCGACAGAGGAAGACCCAACCACCGCCAATTACTGGAAGAAGACCAAGAACACCATCTCCGCCTCGCGTTGCTTCTTCGGAGACCGTACGGAGAATAGATCTCCAGATCTGAAAATCATAGCCTCCAAAACCCTAAAAGCCGACGCCTTTCCAACCTAGCTCCACCAAACCCTCGTTGCTGCTCCGAAGACGCTTCCACCGGCGTACAAGCTCCGTCGCGAACGAAGGCAAGACACGGAGGAGCTACTCAGAGGAGAAGACATATCGGGGAGGGAGACAAAGGCTGAAGAAGACGCAAAGAGAAGACAAGGAATAGAAAAGGAAGGGTCCCGCCGGAGCCAGACAGTCGCGTGGCGCTCTTCTGCGCGCTCACGGACGCCGGACCGGAGGAAGAACGGTTGGTGTCTTAGATGTCGCTAGAGAGAAAAGTTGGGTCTTTTGACTTTTCAGTTTTGCAATTATTATTTTTAGTAGCTAATGATTTTATCTTTTTGCTAGCATTTTTTTGAAAAATAGATATTAGTTTTACATGTTTTCTTTGGGAGGTTCTTTAAAAAACATGCTAAATTGATCGTTGTATTTTAGACGCAATTAATTATACCTGGATATAAGCGATGATACACAAATTAAACAAGATTTAATAATAAGACTGCATGTAAGTTCTTTTGTAATATAATATGTTGCTTTAGCTAATAAGCATACCAAACAAATAATTATTCTTTAGTTTATAATCTAGCTAACTACGCCTATTAGTCTATGACGCATTTGGAATATGACAATTTGTTAAGATCAACACAAAAGTATAACTCTTTTTTTTAAAAAAAAACCTCGACTTGAATGGATAGATGTAACAAAATTTTACTGATATTCCGAGACGCAACGCACACCTACGCAAGTCACACCTATATGCGATGTCATTTCTATAAATATTATAAGTTTATGTCATTAATTAGTGGGGGTATTTAAATATGATATGAAAAGAATGACAATTTATAAAAGCTACTCATTTAAATAGTTTACTAATTTCTGCTAATACCGTCACCGTGTTTTTTTGGGGTGCAAATGTTAAACCATCACCGTGTTAATTATATTTAACATAACGATATGATGTTCAAGCTGCAAATACACTAGAACATTTGAAAATTGGATTGAGTTATTTTCAGATTAAGAATGAAGTCAACAAAATCAATGAAGTTGTTTTATCTTTTTCAAAAAAAAAAAAAAATGACGAGCACGTGAGGCTCCGGGTTTCACGTAGTAGTGGGGTTCGGTGAAAACATTGGACTGAAAAGCAGATAAAAACAAAACCCTAATCATATTTTTACAAATCAAACCCTACGTACTGTCTTCTCAAACAGCTACCTTCATTACAATTTACATTCGCAAAGCACATTACCCCCATGTATGAAACAGTCATATCATCGAAATTTCAAATAGGTAAATAATTCTTTATCCTCACAAGCTTGTAGTTAACTATACACAAAAAGAAATCGGATAACTAGTGAAAATAGGTACGTACTAAATATTTATATAAGTCTCAACTGTGAAACAGATAGCTGTCGTCTCAGCGGTTGAGTGAATTAGACGTTACTCTTTTGCAAGATAACTAGTTTCCGAGCTTTTGAGTTATTTCCTATCAATTATTTTCCTTAACTCAAACGCTAGTTTCTACAAAATTATATATTTGTAAATCTACACAATGTGTGGTCGACCTACTTATGAAATGAAAACCAAAAGAAGAAAGAACCTTTGCTTTAAATGTCATAGGTCCAAAATAATTAAGATACCAGAATGTTACACATGTGGTATACCAATAAATAAATGGGTTTCCTACAAAATAGATGGAAAGCAAGTTAGGCTATCGAATAGTGAAATGCCTACCTTTGCCAAACTAGATCAACTAAACTAGAGAGAACAGATGGTTTAAAACACTAAAGGCGTAGCGGACCGGTTAATAGGTAAAATAAATGCGAAAGGGAAGGTCTAGATACTGGTGATGTTGATGGACTCATGTTACTGTCTTCATTTATTTTTGGTACCTTCCCAGCAGCATAGTGACTAAGATACAGTAAATTCAGCAGACGTTCTCTGTATATATATACCTACAGCTCTAATTTTATTTGAACTTCGAAACGTGTATATTAGCTTAGGCAAATGATTCAATATTCAACATTATCTTCTTCTTTTTTTTTTTTGCTAAAATATTCAACATTATCATCATTATCACAATTACCGTAAAGTGTTTGCTATGGACCTATCACATCGGACCTGTTAATTATATTTTAATTTCTATGCAAACATATCAAGAAAGCTAATATGTAAATCTATAGAAATTTTGTGATAACTATATATATATGGGACATGGTGATGACCATAGAAAACAACTGTGCATCAAATAGGTATACAAGAAATAAAACTAGGGTATATTAAAACAAAAACTCACAGAGTAATGATGTTTGAGAAAATATTAATAAGGTGAACCAAATGGGCTGGAAAAAGCAATTTAGGCCCATTAGTGAGATGAGAAATGCCCAGAAGTTGGGATGATACTTGATACACAAGTTCCGAATAAACGCGCGCTCTTTTTTTCCCTCTCCCAAAGTCCAAAGCAAGATTCTTTCTGAATTCTCAATCGCCTCTCAACTCCGTTGCCTTGAGTCTTGACCATCTCCGTCGTCTACCACTGTGGATTCTTTATCTCTGAATCTTTTGTGCTTATTCGTTTAGTAATTCCTTTCTTGTTTGCATCATCACTGAGAATCGATCAAGTATTGTGTGTCTACTGCTCCGCTCGTCTCGGCCCTTATGACGTAAGAAACTACCTTAATACTCAAATCTTTAACCCTTTGTGTGATACCATATGATGATTTTTTTTTTGTGGTTTCTTTCTCACAGGTTAGCGCAGTGGAGTGAGTCCATTTCATCAACTCACAGGTTAGCTTTTAGGATGTCAACTGTTATCATCTTGTTTGGTTTTTACATGAATTGTCGTCAGCTTCCGTTTCTACATAAAACCAATTTAAGTGAAATCTGGATTTATGTGTATATACACATATCTTGATATATTAAATGAAAAATACACAGTAATACACATCACAAAGTGGCTTTTTGTATCCTTGTCTAAATACAATTACTTTTACGGTTTTAGGGACAACAAATCAAATGAAATTTAATTATATCAGTGAAGAATCATATGATTCCCATAATCAAATGATTTTAATTAAATAAGAGTAGAGATTGAGTAACAATCTTGCCTTTTTCTATAAAAAAAACACTATCTTGTCTTCTCAGAATTAAAAAGGATTATTAAGCTTTTTTTACAAAACTTTTTTTTAACCTAAATGTTAAATAAAAGAGAATAAATAAATAATATATGTTGGCTAAGACAAACAAACATGTATTAAATTCTATAATAACATTGACAAAAAAACTCTATAATAACATCGTTGACAAAATGCTCACAAGAAAAGGAAAAAAATAGAATAAACAAATATTATATATAGACAAAAAATTTCCATTACTTTCTTTTCTTATTTGGGTTGTTTGGCATGAAATCTGACACTTTTAAATAAAAAGAAAGAAGAACATCTTCACCACTCTCTTACTTGGTCAACAATAATCCGATTTAAAAATATGTCCTAACATGTTGACCCAAGACAGAGATGAAGAGCTTGTTTTGTTCCTAGAGATCGGCCGTCTCGAGAAAGGTCACAAAACTTGGCTTCTAATGAGTCCGTTATATTACCCAATTGTATTAGATATGTTGTCTGACTTTTTATTTTCTTTTCCTTCTCTCTATTGCAGAATCTTCTGATCATTGTAAGAGTACTAGGTCGACGACGTCCATGTCGTCTCAACAATATCCACTTCGGAGAACTGCCGCCGATAATTTTTTGTACTCTGAAGACGAGAAGTCTGATTACGATTGGTAATGTTTTTTTCCTCTTCATCTAGGTTATGAGTTTTCTTGTGACATACTATTTTCCTGTCTAGGATAGAACAAACCAAACCAAAAAGTAGACTTGATCAAATTCTCATTATACATCCTTGCTAGGCGTAATCTGAGTTTTTATGCGTTCTAAGAATTTATCACTAGCAATATGGTTTTAATGTTCGTAGTCTTATAAGACCAGGGACCTTGAGGATTATTTTCACAAATGGAGATTTAAAGTAAACAAAAGTTAAACAAGTTTAGCATGAAAACAAGACTTTTAAATCAATATTTACTTGTGTGTTTCATACCTCAATTGAAACACTTTGGTCAAATATTATAAAGTTTATATTTATCAAGTTGAATCTCCATCTAGAAAAATAAAAATAGAGACCCTTTGCCACAAATGTTTCATTATGCATGCTTCAAAAACGGTCATGATTAACGGAATCAATATAAGCAATTTGTGCTTTTGTTATTGATGTTTAAAAAGTAATAATAATGTTCAGGCTGGTTACGCCACCAGGCTCACCGAGTAAAAGCTCAATGAACCAACTCGATGCACCCGATGCCACCTTAATGGCTCTTAAATCCCAGGTACTAACTTGGCTATTATTTTGTCTTTATGTGCATTATTCTCTTACGTTGGTTTCTTTATTTCTACAGTTAGAGAGCTGCCGCGAAGAAGAGAGGAACAAAACATCATCCAAAAACCAAACTATTGGGCTCAAACGACCCTCATCCTCTAACAGCTCAAGGTCAACGACTAGACCTTCTACACCAGACAGAATGTCTGCAACTCCAGCCAGAAGGTCAAAGACGCCAACCTCGCGTGTTACCTCAACAGCTGCACGCGCTAACTTAACCTCGTCCTCTACTAGTAGCTCAAGATCAACGAGCAGACCTTCTACGCCAACCAGAAGGCCTTCTAGCTCTGGAACTTCACGTGCCACATTAACCTCGTCTTCTACTAGCATCGTAAGACCAAGGAGCAGACCTTCTACACCACCAAAAAGGCCTTCTAGCTCTGGAACTTCACGTGCTAATTTAACAACTGCCCGTGCCACTACCGGTACAGCCACGTCTATACGATCCAGTATCCGGCCAATCTCGGCAAACAGTACAAAACCGGGATCTAGGTCAAGTACTCCAACTCGCCGTCCACCAACTCCGCCAGGTTCATCAACTGTATCGAGGATTAAACCAACTAAACCAGAATGTAAACCGGTTCCTGTTCCTGCATTGAGATCACGGCCATGGGAACCTTACGAGATGCCTGGTTTCTCTCTAGAAGCGCCGTCAAATCTCAGGACTACGTTACCAGACAGACCACAAACGGCGTCAAGTCGCAGAACCACAGCGTTTGGTGCGTCTAGTTCAAGATCAGCGTCCATAGAACGCACGGTTGCAAGGAGACAGTCTTGTTCGCCTTCTAGAAACCGAGCTCCCATAAACGGACCTGGACGGGCAAAGAAAAGCAATGATAGTGGTGATTTGATCAGCCCTGTAGCTAAGGGGGCTCAAATGGTCGAGAGAGTTGTGAATGCGAGAAAACTTGCTCCACCGCGAGTGACTGAAAAAGGTGGCTCCAACGCTGGGAAGGGAGCTGATGGTGTTGGGTTTGGGAGAAACCTATCTAAAAGTTCCTTTGATATGGCCTTGAGGCATATGGTACGGTTATATATATTATATTATATTATCTTCGTTGATGTTAATGAGTAATAATATATTTAGTACTACTTAATTTGCTTCCAATGTATGTAGGATATCAAACAAGGGAGCATGAAAGGCAATTTCCGACAGCTAGCGACGAAAGTTCCAGCAGCTTCATTGTACAGTGTAGGGTCATCAGGGAACAGGAGAAAGCGTCCGGTGAGCAGCAGTGGGAGCTCGGAATCATCGAGTGCTAACATCTTGTGTTTGGACGCTAGCGATGATAATCGCAGCGACATGAGCTACTAGAGTCAACTCAACGTCATTTTCTTCTTTTCATTTGCATATTCTCTTCCTCTTATATTAGAGAAAGAAAAAGACTCTATAAAAAGGTCTTCTTGAGTTGTTTCTTGGTGAGGCTAAAAATATTCTTACTGGTATTGTCTCGTATTATATTTACCTAAGACTCAAGTGTTTAGAGCGGCCATGTTTTTGTTTGGTATATGCATTTACTGTGGCTAAGAGACCATTGTTTTGCAATTTATAAAGAGAGAATTTGACAATAATGAAGATACATATTGGCTGACGATGAGAATAGATCAAATGGGTTTTGAAATTACGTTTTGTAGTAATTTGATCCTAATGTTGATGGTAATTTTGTTGTTGGACTAATCTGGTGTTTAAGAGCAGTGGGTGGAGGAGTTACAATGTACATGTACATTTCTATGAAAAGTCTTATTAGGCTTTTGGGCTTTCTTACAAATGTACAATTTAAAAATACGAGCTGGATCCCATTACAAATCATCCTTTTGTCACCTAATAAAGCACAATTATTTATGGGGGATATTTTTATTTTATCCTACAAAAATCAAGAAAATTAGTTTCTGAAACTTTATAGTAGGAAAAAAAGGTAGCATTATCGAATTGAAAAAGACGGGATTTTGTACATGAATATGGCACATTAAGAACGTGACCAGGAAACAACAAAGACCATAAAATACTTATCAACCGCCGTCGTTCCACAACAACTCGTAAAGATTGAAATATCTAAAATTTTTGTAGATAAAATAAATCTCAACCGTTCAAAGTGCCATCGAGTTTCCTCCTCTATCCACTTAGATAAGCAGGAAACGCCGTCGTTTCAACAGTCATAACTGACTTCAGAAACGTATTGCATAAACTCGGAATCGTTCTCAATCCCAGCCATGGTTTCCGGCGCCAGAACCACTTCGAGATCCACGCTTCCGTTCCCTTCTCTCCCTGGAAACGCCGAGATCTTCCCGTCGAACTTGTTCGCTCCGCCGCTCCTCACCGCTAACGGCTTTCCCCATCCGAAATCGTTGTCGTACATTGGGAATCTCGGCGAGCTCCCCATCGTGATCGAAGCTCCGTCCGGATTTCCGAGAGGGAAAAGCCTCGGATTACTCTCCCAATCGGCAATCCCGCTGCGGACCGTCGCGTCGTCGTGCGCCACCACGTTCCTGTGAAGCTGACCGGCGGACCATCGGAGATCTTTCGTGAGCACATCTCCCGCGGACGCCATCGTCGGTATGCTCTGTATCGCGTTTCCGAAGTAGTAAGGATCCATCTTAGGCTCGAGCCTGTGGCGGCAGTTAACCGCCATCCTAAACGTCGTCGTCTTGCTCGGATCTAGGTTCCTTGCTCGCGTAACTGATCTCCATAGCTGAGCACTGAGTGATTGGAATGACGAAATCTCAGCCGTTCGATCGTGATTCTTCTTATTCGTTATCTTTCCGTTACCGTTAGTTTTCATCCCGTCATTGCTTACTTTCCCGAGTAACTCTTCTGTGTTGACGACCGTTTCGATTCCGTTGACTTTGCTGTTAGTCCTCTGTTTCAATTTCAAAATCGCTTCTCTGCTGAAATGAAAAACTCTCTCCCGGAGAGGCTGATCGGCGTCGAAGGTCACACGTGGACCACCGGGAGGGACTGGTAGAGCCACGGGGGAGTCGAAGACGGTGTTTCTGGAGAAATCAGGAAGGTGTTTGATCTTGCAAGCGCCGCTGGTGAGGTCAGCGAAGGTGTTGAAGAAGTGCCAGAAGGAAGTTCCATCCGTGACGGAGTGATTAACGGTGCATCCGACGAAGACACCGTCGGCTAGCTCCGTCACTTGGACGGCGGAGAGAGGCTTATGGTGTCCGTTATAGCTAACGAGGCGCTCGAAAACGAAGAACTCGCGGACGAGGAGAGGGACGTCTGTGCCGGGAGGGAGAACGTCGGAGACGGTGACGTGTTTGGCGGAAGCAGCCACGAATTCGACTCCGGCGTCGTTGCAGGTGATGTAGATATGACCGGAGGGGCTGGTGGAGAAACGGCCGGCTAGAGCAGGGAAGAGAGAGAGAGTGGAGGAGAGAGAGCGGCGGAGAGTGGAGAGAAGGTCGTCGAAGGGGAGGGAAGAAGGAGGGCGAGTGAGGAGGACGCCTTTTTGAATGTAGTGGCAAGAGAGCATAGGGAGGTCAGAGACGGAGAGACGGAGATCCGCGACGGTCGACCTCTTCTCCGGATACACTATGCATTTCGAGATTTCTGTTACTGAGGAAGAAGGCATTTTTTTTTGTTTTAAATGGTATTTGAAAGAAACTGTGACTTGGTGAGTACTTTGCCGTATGGGTGAGGAGAAAGAGTTGTGGGGGAAAGGGGTTTATATAGTGGTCTGGTCGGAGCAATGGTTAGATTCATGAACTTGAGTGGTTACCTTCCTTTTGTCGTATTATTAGAATTTTAGCATATCTGGACTGTACTCATATACTTATACTATTATTTATCTTGTAAACAAACAAAATTAACATTATTCACATCAATCATGCATTCTTGTCTCGACTACCTGCTAAACTGGATTAACAGTTTAACACTGCGCACTCAAAAGTTAGTTCCAACACCAATTAGTTTGACCAAAAAATAATAGTAATATCTACCACCATTATAAATTTTTAACTTATTTTTCAAAATTTCTGACGGTTAACTTATGGATTGAACCTATATTTAAATATGTTCACAACAAGATTTTGTTGATATCTTATTATCATGAGTTTTTTTTTTTGCCGAGCTAATGATATAATTGAAACAATGTGGGCTGTCTAACCTGTGTTGATATATAATTCAGACATATATATAAGTAGTTGACTTATAAAGGTAACTAGATATTGTAAATTTGTCTTGTATTCCTGTTTATTAATATTGACCCTAATCATAATCATATAATCTCCTGATTTATTCATCTAGTAAACACATGCTGCCAACTATATTTAAGTAGTTGAGAGATTTCTTGCAAATTCAATGATTAATCCTAAAATCAGTTTCCATTAGGTTGGAGATTATAATCTTTTGTGTTAAGTTCTGACAGATCACTTCAAAACTTTTTTTTTTTATTATTATTCTATCTTTTTATGAAAGCTAAACTTTTTTTTTATAGTGGCACATGCACTATTATGAAAGTTTGTTTTGTTTTATAAAATCGGCACATCTAAACCTCTAATGTATTTGGAAAAAGAAAAAATAACGAAGAGGACGTGTTTGGTCGGAAGGAGAAGAAAGGACAGATAGCCTCCGTGAGAAACAGATGGAACGTTGAGACCTACTCTTCTGTTTTCTATTCTTTTTTGTTAACTGTCAGTATCTTTAATGGGATAAAATCTAATCTTCTGAGTTCTGACACCATAAATCTCATAGGAAACTAACGAAGTCTGCCTTTCCAGTAGTTTTATTGATCCCGAGATTAACTGTCTTGGGAACATAACCTCTGTTTTGTTCGGCCACAATATATAAAAGAAAAAGGCCTTTTTTGTTATGTGTTTTCTTCTAGATATTCAATCCTCCAGAAATGCATGTTCTAAAATAATTTTCTAAAATAATTTTTATAGTATAGTTTTACTATTTTCATGTTAATTATTTTATTTTTAAATATAGTTATTACTCCTTCTGTTTCATAAAGATTATCCTTTTAATTATTTATTTATTTGTTTCAAAATAAATATCATTCTACATTTTCAATGCACATTTTTACATTAAATATCTTTGTTATCTTTTTAAACCCTTTAAATAACCAGTAGATATTTGGTTAAATTATTTTTATTTAAATAATTTTATAATAAATAAAAATAAATTAATATATTTTATTATTTTCTTAATATATATGAATTGTGCTTAAATGATATTTATTATGAAACAGATGGAATATTTTGTTTTAAGTTGTCATTCCTTTTCATTTTCAGTTTCAGTTTCTTTCATTATTTACACTGGAATCAATTAAATATTGAGCTACTGTCTAATGATAATTATATTTTGATACTTTCCATTAACTTCTACGCACCTATGGTTTTATATGTTAAATGTCTTCTCAATAGAGGAAGACATGAAGTATAACAGTAAATTAAGATAGAAGACTTATTGTGTGTGATAATGTGACTTAAAATGCGCTCTTTGTCTGTCGCATTGATTCTAGTTGGTCATTTCATTAAAGAACAAAAGCATCTAGTGACTCGATTAGCAGATGGTCCATTATGGATGATCACATGATAGATGGTCATTAACTGTTCCTTCCCCAACTACGTTAAAAGAATTTCATGCATTTCCATACTCCAGCGCCTATAATTGTAACAATTATTGAATTTAAGAAAATAAACAATTCATCTGCATTTTGAAGAAACTATTTTTTAATTGTTAATAATTGTTTAGTCTTAAGTCTGTTTGGCTTTTGACAGCAACAGTTAGATATAATCACGTTATATGGTGATTAACAATGACAAGAAAGTGTGAGGAACAACAAATACAATGAGGAAAATGATTGGTACTTCTGCTGTCAATTAACGATCAGAGTCGTGTGACTGTGTGAGTATCCCAACATTAAATAATAGTAGTAGTTTTTAAGTACATGTATATTTTTAAAGTTGAACTGTTATCTGAATCTATATTTTCAGTTAAATTCTAAATTTATAACTTCTTTCTGAGAGACTGAAAATAATTGGAATGGAAAAGAAAATTCGCAAATGAGTAGTGTGTTGAAAAGGAGTAAATAATATATATATATATATATATATATATATATATATATATCAGTTTTATGTTGGTTTCTAATAAATTATACCTCCATGGTTATACCTCCAAAGGCTCCATTTTAAGTACTATATTATATTTTCTAGTTTTTCTTATAGTTTGTAGTCAAACCAAAGTTAACAGCGTATATGTCACAAAAAAATATGAATGCATGATTTTCAAAAAATAGTGCGTACATAGAATCCACCCTATTTTTGTTTTCTTTCATTAGACACTAGACAGGACACATTTTTACCATTCTAGAATCGAATTATTCTGCTTTTAAATGCCTTTATTAGTCCTGTAAAACCACTGATTAAAATAAGAACAATATTCCAACCTTGCATCTTTTAAATACTGTTGATAATTTTTTATGTATTGATTAACCTTTTTGACACACTAGGATGTCGAATAGATACGCAGTAAAATATCATACTATATTATCTTTTATCAAAAACATGCATTTTATTTTATTTATAACTTTTATAATGACACGACAATGTTACACTTACAAACAACAAAAAGATACGTTCTGAGTCATTCATATTCTTTGTTTCATAAATATTTATCGAACATTTAAATGTGTATATGAAGTAACATTTAGAAACCAAAGTTAAAAAAATATTCCGGTTTATCAAAAGCTCGTTAACAAAAAAGTGATTACATTTTTCAATATATTAAAAGATAGTATTTTATAAGTTATAGGTCATAAATTTAACATATTTTATTAAGATTTAAACTAAAAATGGACCTAGTAATGTATCGCAATTTTTTTTTAAAGTAATAATAGTTTAAAAATATAACCAAAGCCATTTTAACTTTCATATACTTTGATTTCTAAAATCTTTTATTTATTACAGTTTAAGATCTTAAAACTTGAATTTTATATCTATTGAAAGTCAATTTGATATGAAGAGAGATTATTTATTTATGTATCGGTTTTAAACACTCAAAAAACTTTTATCTCAGTCAAAAAAAAAACTTTTATCGTTCAAAGTGGATTGTTCAGTATATAATATTCATGTATGTGTGGGATATTTATCATATAAAAGTTAATGGTGGAAAAAGAGTCAACTGGGTTAATAAGAAGCATGTACAATGCATCTATATAATCAACCAAAAACTCAGTGCTTTGACCATTTCTCTCCATACTATCTGGTAGGGACAACTTACTTCACTTTCCTCAATACAATAAAAATAGAGTTGTCATTCACTTTGGATATTTCTTTTTTTATTTGTAAACTGCTACTATTTTGGATATTTACTCGTGTATTTAGTTTTACATAAAGATTCCAGTGTGATTTCTAAAAAATATCTATCGAAATAAGCACATGTTTTCACACAGTTTTACTTGTATATGCATAGAGTTGTATAGATGTAAGTATGTAACTACATATTCGTTTTTAAATAAGATCTAACTATAGGTTGATCACATTCTACGATAAATTGTTTATTTATGTTTTACAGTAATAAATTACAATAACATCTTTGTATTCATGTGTTACCACTTACCAATATGAATGGTAGAAATTGTACTTTTCAACTTTCCACTCAGAATAGGCAATACATAGATCTATTTAAATTAGTAAGTATCAATTTAAGACCATTTTTTGTTTATGTCATGCTAATCACTATCATGACCCAAAATGCAGGCATGTGACCCCCTAATTCCCACTCATTAATTACGTGGTACATGTGGTATGCATTCATTCGTATTGATGTAGTGACATTTAATTTATTTTCAGTAGTTAATATAGGTTCTCGATATTGAAATTCAGTCTCTCTTTTTCAATCGAATGCAAGTAACATAATCGATTTTTTTCACGTATAAGGTATAACACACTTGAGTATTTTGTTTCCCTTTTTCCAACTAAGACTTTGCACATTTATTTTTTGATAATTTTTTCTTTTGGACTGGATTTTTTTTTTTGATAAATTTTATTCACGAGATTAAGATTGTATATTTTTATAAACAAAGTCAAATTTAGATACGAGATTATCTAGAAAATAATATTTTGTTATAATTGTATGGATCTCAAAAGTTTTCTACACCCAAAGTACTTATATAATGTTTGTAAAAAGAAGGAAGTATCTATGTACGTATTTTGTATAAAAAAATATAAATATTTGGTGTATTTCTTGAATTTTATTCATATCATAATATGAATAAAATAGTATGGATCCAAAAAAGAATATTATGGACTTGTTTTCTTAAATTTTATTTAAAAAAACATAATTGTCTGCGGAGGTTCATGATTCCGAGTCTAGACTACGTCTACCGCACAGCATGCTAATTATTTAAAGCATAATCAGGTACGCAATAATTGTATGTTAAGAAAAATTATTATTGTTAGGTTATAACCAAAAAAACGAATTATCAGGTGCGAGAGCCACGTAATACCTGATGGAGATTGCTATCATACTGATAGAAACTACCCTTGGAACCAGCTTGAATAGAAAACACAATCTGGTACAAAGAACATGTCTTGCTTGAACCAGCTTGAAATCACCCTTTATGAGTTGTTTCTTCGTTGCTCTCCCATGTATATTTCCCGACAAGATCGGTTGGAAGTTGATTTTGATTACAACACTACCCAATGTACCCATACATGTTTTTTTTCTGATGAATTTTGTAAAATATAAAAACTATCTTATCATTATTTTCTCAACATACAATTGCAAGATTGTAGAGATGAAAATATTTTTTTTTGTTAAAATGAAAAATATTAGTTTCATTCAATTGAGTGGGTGTAATTTTGTTTT